CAGAGAGGCTCTGCCAAGTAAGGTCGAAGATGACGGTTCGTCTCGCTTGACCTAGCGAACCCGCTTGACCTGCATCTCCCGAACTGAGCCGGTCTCCTGTCGTAACTTAGTTGAGCCTTAGCTTCCGCCCTTGGGCAACAACTTGAGGGTCTTCTCGGTGACGCTGTCCTCATGTTGATGAGCTTCAAGGTCGGCATTTTGTCAGAGAAGATCATAATGCTACTCGATCAAGAAGGTGAATATGTTTCAGCATAGTCCTTGGTGACAAATCGTTTGGGCTGTGTAAGAGAGAATTCTCAGGTTATGTTCCTCAGACATTCCTCGCATTAACATGATCTCCACGGCCCTTCGCAATCCCTAGCCAAAGCCACGCAACATCGGTCGAATTTGCCGAAACTCTCCTACACCTTCCTCACCGAGCGAGTAAACGTCTTCGCCTCAGCTGACTCTAACTGTGTTGACTAGGCTTCGCCGGGATTGTCGGGTCGCGCCACGGTGCCCAGGCGGGCTGTTCTCTTCGAGACATGGGGTGTTGCTTCTGGAAATTTTCTAGCGCGGCTCGGGTTACAGCCAGCTGCCACTGTGAGATCCGAACAGGAGCATCACCCCATGAACCGTGAAAGTGATGTGAGTCGATTTGGTCTCGATTTCACGTCGATCACACATTTGTGAACAGCTGAGACAGGGCGGAGTAGGTCATATAATTTCCAGGAAGAGGAGTAAGGATAAGTCCTACTAAGGAAGTACACGGGCACGAGATCCAGGAGGACGTATTCGGGTATGGACTTTTGTTGAGTGAGTCCTTTCGACCAAGGTACCGTATCATCTTGCGCTTCTCCACGCCTTCTTTCGGCATCTCCCTCGTCGACACTGGCAAAATCTCGTGACAAAATCTGATATTTCATAAGCGGAAGCCTTCAACATGAGACTGTTGGGAAGCTCTCGTGACAGGCACCAGATCTCGGTGGCATGATATCCGATTTGGGTATTACTTGCATGCCATGGGTAACGGATGAGAGCCGGTAGATCATATTATGGGCATATTGGAGCCAGCATAGGGATTGGTTAATCGTAGGATGTGCTTTCGACAAATTCAGTTGTGTGTTGGTGGCATTGTGAAGTAACTATTCCATTCGGAGACGACCAGAGCTCAGTGATACTCGTGCCTGAGCAGCAACATTGCAATGCCTCGGTCTGAGTGGAGTACAGCCTTGAGTATTATATTTGTTTCGGTTTGCCTCTGCACATGTCTTTTGTGAGAATACTTGCTTAATTTAGGATTTAGAATGTCATATTGTCTTCGTTGGTCCATCGACTGTTGATGTTCTGTGCCTTGGCCTCGTGATATGATACATGGGACAACGTGATTCTCAATTACCTTAGTTCGTGATAATTTATGGCCGGTTGGCCGTAGTGAACGTCGAAAGTCTGAGTGTTGGAATCATAGACCTGCACGTTAGTAACTCGCGATGTTATTCAACGGGTGTCATTGACTCTAAGAAGGTTTAGAGTTTCAACGTTATTACTCTGTTATTAGTTAAATTTAATAATACAAGCCAAATATCGATACTGTAGAAATAGAGTCAGGCGCGGTAACGGGACCTATAAGACATGTATTGTCATTGAGACATGTCTTCAGCTCGATAAACGTCAACCTGTAAGCCTGATGTGATATGCCACAGGGTAGGTACCTGAGTGATGACAATGTACAGTGCCTGTTCGATATTTGGTGCAAAATACTGTGACCAACACTGTACATGGATACCCGTCGTTATGGAGCTTGGATCATGTAAACAAACCGCAAGCCCCCACCACTCACAACGTTGGAATTCACGCGCCATCTGGATCGAGAGAGATTTGACATCATACCAGAGACCCCCAAAGACATCACCCACGAGGATCACGACCCTTAATTATTGAAATTACCTGTCTAATACTTGCATAACTTGGAGTCTTGACCACATTCTTATCATACGCAATGTCTCCTCCGCGCCGTCGCTCGGCCCGGTTGGCCTCTGGTACTACCCCTAAGGTGAGTTCCGTGATGGCATCATGCAATTTTCCAAGACAAGTATCCTGACAGTTATGACAGAAACCTGCGACGTCCAACTTGACCTCTGTTGTCGAAGATGCCGAGTCGCCTGAGCGGCTTCCACAGCCGAAAAGTCGCAGCAAGGCGAAAGGCAAAACCAATGCCGTTCCATCCTCACCAGCTCCTACGCCTTCGACGCCAGCGTCATCGGCCATGAAGCCTCCCCACGAAGAAATGCACCCAAGCAAAGCTCACCACAACATGGGCGAACCATCCTCCGCGATGAGACTGGGCTTCACAGACATTAAGGACACCACGCGCCCTGGCATCCCGCCTGACACACCGTCCAAGATTGGCGTTCCTGCTTCCGATTTCACGTTCCGATTCACGCGCGATACTACCGATTCCACCCTCAGTGGTGATGCGCAACGTCTAATGGAGGAACTTCGCGGACAGGCAGCCAAGATCAAGGCTGATATGATCGCAAAGCGTGATGCAGAGGATGCTGAAGAAGACGCTCTTGGCCGCAAGATTGCCAAACCCAAGGGCAAGACAAATCGTTATAGCGCGGCGCATATGGCGGAGTTCAAGAAGATGGACTCTATCGAGAACCATGCGTCTGCCTGGAGAGCCCAAAACGGGCGGTTCCAGCCTGTTGTCCAGTCGTTGAAGCGCACACCTTCACAGGCTAACCTGGAAACGACACCAACTTCTTCTCCTGACAAGTCTGGGCTCAAGCGATCACCCTCAAAGGCCGAACTGGATGTTCCCACACCATCGACACCTCGCGTCACACAGAGCCTGAAGCGCAAGTCGTCGCGTGCTAACCTTGATGAATACCAACAATCGCCTTCGCCTAAGAAGTCCACTATGCCTCCGTCCAACATACCTACGGCCATTCCCCCATTCTCCAAGAAGACACAGTTGTTCCCTAACGTGCACCAACGCGTTCCTTCGAAGAGACTCAAGCAGCGAATGGAGGATGACGCGACAACAAATCGACCCCCATCACGCGATGACTCCTCGATTCCTCGACCCAAGTCTAGTGGAAGTGGTTCAACCAAGTTGCCCGCCTCAAGCTCAAGCTTGGCAAGACTCATGAGCCCTACGAAGGCGTCTCTAGCGCACACAGGCAAACCCACCATTTCTCTGATCAAGTCTCCTTCCAAGGTCGACCTGAAGAGTGGTCTGCCAAAATCTACCAGTACTTCTCACCTGATGCCTGGCAAGCCGACCACGCCTAGATCTCGGGTCATTAGCCCAGGCCGCTTCGATAGAGTCAAGTCGATTTTGCGCGGAAACCGAACACCTTCTGGCAACGCTCAGACCGCGATTCCACAGCCCATGGTCTCACAGACACCTGCCCCAACAAAGGCCGATAAGGACAAGGCTTTGCCTCCTCTCCCGTTGACTACTCCTCGACGGAAGGTAACAAAGCACGTCGCTTTCACCCCAGAGGTCACGCGAATCGCATTCGAGCAGAACTCGCCTTCCCCACAGAAGTCTTGTCTCAAGGCTCGGTCAACACGCACTTTGCTGGACGAGCAGTTCCAAGGCATTGATGGAACACTTGCAAAGGCGGACTCCGGGGATGTTGTATATCCTGACCTCAGTGGCTTTAGACCCCTGCCAGAACCTCCCAGCAAACAGAAGGATAATGCACCTGCGGCTGTCCCCGGCAAATTCACATTCCGTAGTGACCATACGATCGAGTTTGGAGACGTTCCTGTGCTAGGCTTTGGAGCCTCCCCCGGCCAGTCGAGTGTTCGCCAAGTCCGACAGTCACTCAAGCCTAATGCGAAGATGCCCGGTAGCTTCCCTGGTCCTACTTCCCCGATTGGCCTCAACAAGGAGAATAAGGAGCCTGGCTCGGCCAAGATTCTGGTTGGAGCGCCTCATGGCATGTCTAACAAGAAGCGACACCGAACCAGCTGGGACGAGGAAGAAGAGGAGCAGAAGAGTGCCGAACGCGCAGCCAAGAAGCGTAAGGCCGAGCATGTCCCTGAAGGTGAAGCCCTTCTTGCTCCCCGTCTCGTTGGGGGCACTCCCAGCGCAAAGAAGGTCCGCTTTGGTAGCACGACACCGCGTACCCCTGCTTCTGCCAGCCCTACCAAGAAGCGCGCAGTTCTCAGCTTGAGCCGGCTTAACATGCTTGCTCGTCCTAAGAATCGAGCATAAGTTTCCACATGGTTGGAATCCACCGAAGTGCAGTTACAGCTGCGAATATTTTTGAAAATTGAATGTGTAATACGACTTTATGTGTCTGTCGTATTCTGGAGATTGTCTCGGCAGATGTTATAGAGTCACTTTTATTTGCTTCGTCTGGTAGCATGTTGGCCACTCGATTCTGCTGACACCCAGAGCTTGACACAAGAAGCTAATGATGAAGCGTGCTTTGATTAAGCTGGAGTTCCGAGATTGTTTTTACCTGGCTTTTTATGTCGACAAAGTCAATGACATGCTGTTTTTACCACACAAGACAAAGGATTCGGGTCACTCAAGGAAGGATTAGGGGGTTTATGGGGTTTATGGGGTTTATGGGGCGTTATGGCAAAATGCATCAGGTTCTGAGATTAAAATTCAGATGAGAATAGTTCATCGTTGTATTTGATTGTATAGGGTTGTGTATAAACTTAGCACAATATCTCTCGGTCTCCTTCAGACACCTTTGTTGGTACGGTCTGATACTACCTACCTACTAATGTTGCACTCTTCTTCCCTGACATGGCATGACCTGCACTTTCCTTCATCTGATATGTTATGTCCTTGTTGTGGTCTTCCACTCTCATACCTAGGTACCTATCCATACCTGATATCTAACATCTGATCCTAACTATGACACTCCTTCAGGGCACGATCTGGAGATCACCAAACTACAGCTTTGGTCTTCGGTCGCTCGCTCGTACATTCTTTCATCACAATACCTAACATATCATCGAACGCATTTCTTTCCCTTTATGCATCTACAATGCCAAACCACAGTCAAATCAACATATTCACCTGCACGTTCTGCTTCCACGTCTTTCAAGGCCTCCCTCAAATCATCGGTCGTACCGGACGTCTAGCATGTGCAACATGTCACGCAGCGCTTCTCAACCTAGCCATCTGCTGGGTTTGTGGAGAGCTCATATACCGAGGGGATGAATGTGTCAGTTTCGGTTGGTGTTTCTGGCATCGAGCGTATTACGGATGTCTACTCTACGGAAGCAGATCCATTCACCAGGGCGTATCAGTCCAAGACCTCTTTGAAGAGAGCGGAGCAGAAGGTCGAGTCAAGGAAGGATGTGGAGGGAGAGAGGTGACTGAGGTACCGCTTTGTGCAGCTTGTGTTGTGGAAGTCGAGGTTGATGGTGTTAAGGAGGATAATGTTGTGAAAAGGGGGCTAAGGAGAGTTGAGAAAGTGGACGGGGGATTGACCAGGAAGAGATGGGAGGCCAAAAACAGCGAGAAGAACTTGAAGGTAAGCTGCAAGTTTCTTCTCTGTGATTCTTTCTAACATCCATGTGCAGCAGTTCTCTAGCCAACAGAGAACCCACAAGAACGAATATGGCGTCGAGGCTGAGGACCTTACAGTCAACAAGGTCTCAACCGACTTCAAGGACAACTCCGAATCGGTTATATGGGTCGACATCTTTGATCCCATCAACGGCCCTTCCTTTAAACCAAGCCCCCTGAAGCCTATACCGCTGTTCATGCAACGACCACCGAGTCCTACTATCCACGAGCGCCAGCGCAGGTCAACTGCCGCCGATACATACCTTCAGCCTCCTCACGATCTGAGAAAACAGCACTCTGCTCCTTGCTCAGTTTGTCCCTCGGAAGCACCTGTAAGAAGTCGATCACCAGAACATCGTACTCCACGCCAACCATCACCAACTCTACCTAAAACCCCACCCTCTTCGCCATCTCACAGTCACAGCAGTCAAAAGATTCCAGAGTACGACTTCATAGACATGAATGGCCGGTCTGAAGTGCGGCACAAACAAGCCGTTAGCTGGGTCAGCGTAGAGCCCTTGAAACGACCATCGTCTCGACTCGCCCCGTCACGTCGCGCAGAGGCCAATCGTTCAGAGGCAGAGTCGTCGGCATACAGAACGCCTCCAGAATATCCAGATCAGGTACTGCGGACACCATATCCGCTTCCTTTGTCAAACGTCAAGACGGCTAGCCCCTTGCCCGCACAGCTCACGTCGCACTCGCAACGAACTGTGCATGCTACTCCACAATCATCAGAGTATCTTGACCGTTACCAGCCCGCGACGACGAGATCGACACAGAACCAGGAGGTGAGAAGACTAAGGAGGATAGATGCAAGCGTGACCGAGGAGGGCATCACGAAGACGAAGTCGGGACAGTCTGACGGTGGAGAATGGGGAAGCAAGGTCGGGTCTGAGCTGAGACGGTTCTTTACAGGACGATAGAGGGTTGTTACACGGCAGTATGTATTAACGAAGCAGGACCCTATTCACATGCAAATTATGTATCGAATTTTAAGAGAAGTGTTGTTTGCATTGGTTGCGTGTTTAAGTACCTATACAGCGAACTTGGGCTGGCAGAGCGATATGAAGATGCCATAGAGTACGAGTCTCTGAGCTTAATGATCGCCAAGAGAGAAAGAATTACAGTTTCAGCAAACCAATGAGATGGCTGTATTATCATGATCATCAGGACATGGAAAGCCCGAGACGGATGAGGTACGTAACTACTAAGGTATGAGAGCGTTCATATCGGTTCGGCACCGGAAGCGGACGACCGAGGCACAGGCAAATCGAGATCTAAGCGGGCGCCATAAGAACTGTTGCAGGATAATGGAGCTTTGTTGGTATTCAATTGAGCTTGAGCTTAAGATTGATAACGTGAGCGTTGAATTGAGGAGATTGAACTTTGTGTGGTAAATTCAATGAATGAATGACTGACTGACTCTGACTCTTTTTAGAAACGTGATGACATTGACTTTGGAGAGGGGAATGGAGGTTTCTACCAGCCAAGGAAGCCCACCTCAGCCGTAGCTAGGTAATAAGCAAGTCCAAGCTCTGGCGGGGTAATTGAATGGGAGAGGCAAGTGAGTTAAGCCTCCCAAGTAATATTGAGCTCTGCTCAATTTAGTCTCATACATTGTGTACTATATAATAGCAGTGCTACCAAGTAATCGAGTCAATTCAATGGCTGTAGTCACGAGCATATATACATAGCACCCATAGACCATAGATCGTAGTCATGGGCAGCATCATCCTTTGGAGCTCAATCAACCGCGGGGTTTATTGGCGGTAGCTCTGAAGATCCAATCCAGTTGTCAAAAGTACCCCATTTTCATGCCCTAAATTCCACTCACAAAATTCAATTTTAATCGTTTAAGCGAGAACAAGGTTTCTAGCGCTTTGGCGTGTGCGTCAGAGTTCCCTCAGCGTCCCACCTGATGACCAGTAAAAGGTAACAGCTGCGTCAGGGCATGTTGTGCGCTGTACCTTATGTACTTGGAGAGAGTTGTCAGTACCTAGTACCTACCAGACCACAGTTAGATCAGGTAAAATACAAGATGCAGACGGAGCGGGAGTGGGCAAAAAAAGAGGCTGGTCCAATTAATAATTGTATTAGTAGTACATAAATTTGTTACCAGTAACATTAGGCCATGATTTCAGTCTTTGATCGTGGGCACCATTAATTAGGTCTCAAGACAAAAAAAATAAAAAAAAATCAAGGTCGAGGTCACACCACACCAATAGAAGCCAAAAAAATACTTACAGTGCCTAAACCTTACGAGACTGCCCTCACTCTCTCGACTCGACTCGACTCGACTCGACTCAGCCAAACCTGACTGAGCCCTCCACTCCTACCTACAATCCAATACTCGCTTCGGACCCCCCCTCTGCTGGCTGGAGTCTCTACGTACGTACCTCACTCAACCAAATCCAAACCCAAACCCAAACAAAACCACCCAAAGCTCTTCCTCTTACAAGGTCATGCGACCGTAGACCACTCTTCGTCGCCCTCAAGATTTGAATTACGCCCCGGACGGAAGGCGATAAGCCCAAGGCGACGACCAAAGATGTCGGTTGTCACAAAGGTATGACTCTGCTCTATTGTTCTGCTCTGCTCTGCTCTGTTCTCCTCTCCATTGTATGCAGTGTGTGTACCCCCTACGATCTCGACTCGAGTTTTGACTTGGGGCGCTGCATTGGGTTGGCAATTTTGCATCACAACGCCGTTGATCGAACTCTCTTGTATGAGAACGTTCGCTCTCGATGGCTTCAGCAGTCGCATTTGCTTCTGCTCCTCCTCGCCTGCTCTACGCCTCGCCTCTGCTATTTCTTGTCGCATCGCCTATCTTCTCGCCCATAACACAAAACAAGCCCCTCATTCCCTTCGCTCGTCATCGCCCATCAGGTTGTTTGCCCTAACCTAACGCGACGGCCTGTCCCCTCATGCTAAAACACCACAAATATGATACCGCAATAGCCAAATAACCAAACGATCATGCTAACGCTCTGTCCAGAACCCTTTTGCCTACCTCGGTACGATTCCTCCTCTCCCCGCTTTCCCCGCGAGAAAGAAAAATCCAAATCCAAATCCAAATCTTGCTTCATCGACTCCGATGCCCAATGCCCAACTCAATTACGATCATTCGTACTGACATAGCGACTCCTCCACAGGCAACGACAGTGACGGCGAGGAGAAGCCCGTCGTTCCTGTCAAGACCGTTGACAAGAACTCTGCTCGTACTACTAAGCGTAATGTCGAGCCCCAGGCTCCCGTAAGGGCCGGTGGTGCTGGCGGTAACCGCCGTGGTCCTGGAGGTAACGAGGGTGGTGAGTTCCAAGCACCAGAAAACGAGTTTATGGTCAAAATACTGACTCGGAATAGCTTTCCGGGATCGTGGTGCTGGCAGCAACCGAAACCAGAACCGGTCCACTGAGGAGACTCCTCGTGATGGTCCCCGAGGCGGTGCCGGTGCTCGTGTCCGTGGTGGTGAGTACCCCGAGGATCTTGGTCATGCCGAACAAAAGCTGATAATCTGTAGGACGTGGCGCTAGACACGCCCGTGAGCGCGATGACCGACACCCTTCCAAGTTCGGCGGCCATGGGTATGCTTGAACTGCATCTCCCCGTCTTGATTGGCATACTGACATAATATAGTGGCTCTGACAAGCAGGCTGCCCAATCCTGGGGTGCTAACGAGGGTACTGCTGAGCTTAAGGACGAGCAGGCCGGTGAAGCTATCGCTAAGGACGAGCAAAAGGATGCCGTTGCTGAGGACGCTGCCGCTGAGGCTGCCGCCGCCGAGGAGGAGGCCGAGAAGCAGGTCTCTTACGAGGAATATCTCGCCCAGCAGGCTGAGAAGAAGGCCGCTCTCGAGTCCGGTCTCAAGGTCCGTGAGGCCAACGAGGGCAGCAAGCTCGACAAGAAGTGGGCCAACGCCAAGCCCCTCGAGAACGAGGAGGAGGAGTACTTTGCCCCTACCGGAGGCAAGGCCCAGCGCCAGCGCGAGCGCAAGGTCAAGCAAACCATTGACTTCGACCCTCGCTTTGTCGAGCCTGAGCGCACCCGAGGTGGTGCTCGCGGAGGCCGAGGCGGCCGTGGCGGTCGTGGCGGAGAGCGTGGTGGTGACCGTGGCCGTGGAGGTAACCGCGGCGGTCGCGGTGGTGCTCCTCAGGGATCTGCTAAGGGCAATGCTGCTATTAACACCAGCGACCAGTCTGCTTTCCCCAGCCTCGGCGGCAACTAGATTGCCTAAGCCAAAGCCAAAGCCCGCGCGCCTCGCACAAGAGAGCGCCCCAAAAATCCCCTGCTTGCACCCTCTCACAGTATAAGGCAAACACGGGTCAACGTCCATGCATGTCTACGCCCTCCCCCCTTTTTTCCTTTTCCCTCATCAACTCGTCACGATTATAAGAAGGGGGTGGAAAGGATGCCATATTCGTTGTTCTTCGACAGGTTGAAATGAAAAAAAAAATAAGTTGACCATTGGTTTTTGTGTCTGGCTGGATGGTCTGCGTCCAACGGGCAAAGTGCTGCGTGATATAGGGAGGATTTGAGCTCAGATCTCACTAGCTCTGCTGCACCCAGAAATATTTCTGTCCTCTAGGTCTTCTCGAAGGTTTTCCGTACAAAATTCATTTGAAATGCTCTTATATCTTTTCGGTCTGATGTGTGATTCGCTATACCTAAGATGAATTGAATGCACTGGCTTACAACCAATAGGCAACGTCAACGCCTTTACTAAAGCATTATATTTTCAAAGTATGAATGACTCATAGACAGGTTCTACTAATTCGTGATTGTGCATTACTTGATTTGCTTAATGGTTGTCGCCATCCCTAAGTCAACATTACTGCCCCCCCTTTATCTACACCTATAACTACCTAGTACTCAACTTTTGCAGCGCAAATATGCCCAAAGAACTCTGGGATTGTTCAGTTCTTTGCTCTCACTGTATAATGACTGTATAATGCTTACTATGCAAGCTCGCAAGCCAATAAAAGGACGCAGACAGAATCTGATACATCACATAGCACCTGCCAGGGGTATGGGCAGATATCATATTGCGAATGACGAGCACTTGATTTTCTAGCAAAAGGATGACTTGGATTCTCTTATTAGAACATATAGACTGTTTACAGCTTGAGATATTGTTCTTTTCGATGGCCCACGTCGTGTGGTGAAGTCATCCTTTGAACCGCCATCCAAGTCAACCTTGCGAGGCGCCTTGAAGCAAGAACTGCACCCAGCTTACATCCCGAACCCTCTCTTATGTTCTATATAGCTGGGAGAAGTAGTCTTTGTTCACTGGAAGTTACGTCGCGATCGCGATCGCAGCTCTTAGTCAGCTGGGCTGGAGCGACCTTGAGTTGAGGCGTAACTCGCTCAATTTTCGGTCTTTGAAGCTCATTTAAGCTCTAACAAGCTTCATAGACTGCTATAGGACTCTATTATATAAGTTAAAGTAGCAAAGTGTGCTGGATTCTGCTTCTTGATGGCCCCTGTGGCCTCAACATCGTTGAATGGGCTCTTTCGTGTCTAAGCCCCTTTTCCACCAACCAGATCATTTAGGAAGTATACAACTGTTGTAGAACAAGTGAACAGAACAAAATAGTTGTTCAGTGGTCATCTATAATGCTTCTACAGAATTTGAGTATAAAAGGCCCTCCCCTCGCTGCAAGGAGTGATCTCCATTCAGCTTTTCTCTCCACCCACTTCAGAGCTAAACAACCTCTTGAGAATACTTCAGTAAGCCTGCAACGATACCAAAGCAACTTCAAAAGTATTCTTTGCCATCACTCCACGCTCAGAGCACTGCCTACACTCAGTAGTAGCCAAGCAACCACTAACCACCACAATGAAGTATTCCCAACCCATCGACCCTGAAGACCAGGAGAGCGATGAGGACAATATCTTCAAGGAGTACCTGAAGCTTTTTCGCCTCAACATGGAGTATCACACCGACAACTTCAAGGCCGCCTGCAAATGTGCCTGTAATGAGATCCGAGATAAGCTCCGCTGCAAGTTCAAGCAGCTCCGGGAGTCCATGCGTTGCCGTATTGAACACCGAGGTTAGGTCAACATCTCCCTAGGCTTCGACCGTAAGTTTGATCACAGCACTGAAGAAAAGGACACGAGACATCATGGTGAGGCCGAGCAACACTTGTGTGGGTATTAGAAATCTGGGTTGAGAATCCAGGGGGTGGAGTACATATTTGACAACTTTCAGCACTTGTATCTGGTACGGTTAGGAATATCAGTCTCAATAAATTTGTATACGCCTCATATCAATGTTTGTTCCTTAAGTAAGTGACGTTTTGCTATGCTAACAACACTACACCGATGACCCCTGTAAGACCTAATGAAAGGGGAGAAGAACGCTTTTCATTTATTTCGTATCTAGCTACAAGACAGCGACGCCACAATACTTACACCCGATGGGAAAACGTGTGCGAAGCATCCATTCCAAGAGAGAACGCCAGCAAGACAGCGTTAAAAATGGCCATCATGTAGAAAGGCGCCCCGTTGGAGAGCTTGTCAAAGAGACAGCCCCCTAGCTTAGTAAGTAGCAAGATGGCAAAGCCGCCATACAAAGAATAAACGCCTGCAATAGAGCCTTTAAGGCGGATGCGAGAGACTGACTCTTGGTCCGTCGTAATGCTGATGAGAGGCCGGCTCTCATCGTTGGCTGATTCGTACTCCTCTGGCTGGAGCAGGCTTTCGGGGCGGGCAGTTCGAGGCAGCTCAACTGCCAGAACTCCACGGCCAAGAGACCCAAGACTGCAAACGATAGCGCCGATCTGGCTGATACCAAGAAGTGAAACAATAAAGAAGATTGCGGGACTACCGCCTCGGCCGTCTATGTCCTTGATTTCAGGACTAGATAGCTGCGGAAGGGCGATGTAGCCTACAATACCAAAAATAGTCGAGACAACGATGGGGTAGTTGATGCGACCAGTTCGACTGGCAAGGTATCCGAAGATAGGAGCGCAAATGAGGCCCATGAGTTGCGCCACACCAGTAAGGATGGAAGACAGGACATATGCAGCTCTGCACTCCTCCTTGAGTTCGGGCGACGAATCGTGAGGCGAGCCTTTGCAGAAACCGTTGCTGATGTAGAATGTGTTGACGTACAAAGGGATGAAGAGTGAGATGGCAACGCTTGAAGCTCGAGCAACAAAACCGCCGACATAGCCAAGTCCGATTCGTGAATCAACGAAACCAAGGAAGACCGAGTCTTTCATGAGATGGAGATACGGCGCAAGTTTCTGGATATTGTTAGTGGGAAATCAACCAAAACCGAACTGCGCTTGACTTACACGTCGGTCACGACCGTTTCCGTCACTCGATTCGTCGTCGGTTTTCAGTCCCAAGAGCATTCTCCAACCCTTACCCTCCTCACCTTTGATGTTGCGCAGACCGATCGCAACAAAGATAGAAACGGCTAATGCGACAGCCGCAACAACGTAGAAGCTATACGATACCGCTTCAGCGGGGGTAGTGTCTTTATTCTCGCCAAATCGCGCCGGGAGGGGGAGGAACAGCGTCAGTGCGACAAGCGCACCGCATCCAGTAAACAGTCCAACGAATCCCGCTAGTTTGGATGGTCTTCCTGCAGCAGTATCGGCGGTATCTGTTGTGCTTGGCTCGGAAATAGACTGTGTGTATCGCTCCTGGGTGATTGTGGCTTCAGATTCGACAGAGAAGGCAATGCTGCTTCGGGCTGTCGCATTCTGTAGAGCTTTAATTCTGGCTTGGGCTTCATCCTCCTCGTTGTTGCTATCGTCCGTCAAAGATGGGAGTATCGCAGTTACCATTGTGGCCCTTCCAAAGTGTTAGCAATGCTCGTTCGTGTAAACTATACTCTCTCTGGCTCAACTCACGCTGCAGATGCGCCGATTGCGAATAACACGCGAGCCAGCAACAATTGGGGATATATAGTCTTGGCCTGCACAAACAGAGCCAGCGAGACACCGATTATCGCGTATCCAATAACAGCAACCCATCTAACACCCAGACGATCCGACACAAGGCCCCATCCTGGACAAGCGACGAGCGCCACGAGCTCATCAACGAAGCCCAGAGTTCCCACGACATCACCAACGCCCTCCTTCTGCCCAATCAGGTCGGTAATAACAAAAGAAACGGAGCTGTTCAAGAAGACAAGAAAGGAGATCGAGAAGAGCGATATGCCGAGAAGGTACGTCAGTGCCTGTAGAGGCGTCGTCGACGGCGCAAATGGTAGATATCGCAACATGGCGGCGGGGTTCTTTCGGAAAGATTGTTGTTTTGGAAAAGAGGAGCGATAATCACATTGCAGACAACAGACAAAACTGGTATTTGGACACGCGGAATGTTGACGTAGTGGTTCGTTCTAAGCGCGATCGATGGGTGTAGAGTATGTGATGAAATGCCCAAACAATAATAGTGCGAAACAATAAGGGCGGATGACCGGGGAGCTAACTACTGTACCTACCTAGGTAGGTAGGTAATTCCAGCTTCCATTGAAGCTCGGATATCGAATGACGGTGCCATTACATAATCCTCACGCATCATGTACCTATGCACCCGATATCGCACTCGCAGAAAAGAGCAGCGTAAGATGTTGATTGATTGATTCAGTCTTGGAACACGAAGTTTGTAGCTAATGCTGAAAAGTGAGCGTCAACATCGCGTGGCGTTGAAGCTGTAACACCACAATCACGATTCGCTTAGATCAAGCTAGCTCCATAGTTATGTGTCATGTCTCCTTGTGTAAGTTAAGCCAAGTTCACCATATAAATAAATAAACATCCATATATCTAACGGCTTTTCAACCCCATCCTATAAGCTTCTGTCTACAACTGCCTTCATAATCGGCTCCATGCTGCATTCCAGTGATACAAGATACAAGTTACCCATACTCCATGCCTGTGCCCAAACTCCATTAGTCCATTATCTTGTAGGTCCCGTTCTACCAGGCCCAGAGCACCTTGTGGTGAAGAGTCCTGGCACCTAGCCTCTCGAATTCGAATGGTGTAATCCATGAGTCGTTGGTCGACAGCTTAGCAAACACACTAGCACCCTTCCAGGTGACTACTTGTTCATCCATGTCTCTCGCACTTCGACTCACGAGGATCCGATCGCTGAGTTCGGGTCGTCGGGCCTTGATCTTCTCCTCCAGGACAACCGTAAAGTGAGGAATCTTGGCGCCACCACCAATAACCATGATACTTCCAAGTAAGTCTCGCAGCTTCTTCTCATCGCCCTTAGCGGCGTTCTGAATACTTGTGAGAATGGCAATGTCGAGTGGAGCAACCGGTAGCACAGCGTCTCGCTCAGCGGCCATGGATTTGGCGGTTCGGGCAGCAGCATCGACAAACATGCCTGCTGGTGGTTGTGTCTGTCCGGGATTGGGAGTGCCTCCAGCACGAGAACCATTAGGCGCTGGGCTACCTCCATTCATACCCTCCCTATCCTTGCCAAAGACATAGGGAAGTGGCGTGTTAGCGCCCTCCGGCGCAGGAGATCCGGCATGAGAACCCATGGGGGTTCCGTTGGTCATACTCTCCTTCGCTCCAAGGAAGTTGAACTGTTTGTTCTCTTTGATAGGGGTTGAGATATCGGGCTGTGACAGTGTGAAGCCATTGGCGTTGGACGTTATCGACGGCTGGACAAGCGCTAGAATAGCTAATTGGGCGGCAGAGGTGGGATCGTCTGGAATATCAACGTCGTAGGCGTTGTAGGATCTCTCAACCAGCTTACGCCGCCCTCTTAACTTGGCGCTGTTGTCGAAGATGGCTGGGTCATACACTCCCATCGGAGCCAGAATGACCTCATCGTATGTCTTGAAAGCGTATTTCCGCGTTGGCTGGTTAGGAGCCCGTACATGGAAGTTGAAGAGTTGGACAGAAATATCCGCTTGCGACATGGTGCAGTGCTTAATCTTCAGCTCTTCAGCAAGAAGGAAATCGTATCGTCTCCGCAGGTTCATGTCCTGGTAAGGAAAGTTGTCGTAAAGCATCATTTTGAGGAATGTATCCGTGATATCGTAGCCTCCGTATTTCAGGTTGATCCTTGAATCCTCGATGACAAGGCCGTCTTCCACACAAGTCACGGCTGTCTTCTGGGCTCCCACATCGACAACACAGGCTTGTGTGTATCCAGCACCAAAAGTTGCGGCCATTCCTTCCTGGACGAAACACACCCTGGAGAATTCGAACCAGGTCATGCACGATCGCAGGATTTGCTCCACGTATTTCTTGTCGTATAAGTCAGGAATGACAAAAACGCAGCTGTACTGTTGCCATTCGCTGTTTGTCTTCAGTCCAAGCTCTTGCCTCAATGCCTTATCGAGTAATGTTTCAAGATCATCGTACATATGCTCCTGACTCGTGTACCCATCTTCATTCCACTGTCCATGTTGTATAGGCCACCAAAGTTTGAATTTGGGATTCGAGTCGTCGGGAACACGCTCTGCTTGGTGTCCAATAAAACACGAAGCTAATGAGTCGGGGTCATCAAGCGTTTCGATATCAGTCCATTCGATCTCCAGGGGGTCATTGTGCTTCTGGATAACTTCGGGTTCCGTACGGCGGTTGAAAGTCTGAACAAGTTCCTTCGAGTTGGGCAAGACTTTGCGCTTATTGGCTCGCATCTCGACCTTGAGGTCATTGCACAGTTTGTTGTATTTCTTTGACCACTCTTCGCCGTACTGTTGGTCGGGGGTCTTGGCCTCGAATTGTCGTCGTGGTAGGGCCTCATACATCTCGGACTCGGTCTGGGGGAACTTGGTCGCTAATGTCATCGGAATTGTCTTTGGGAGGGCGTCGCTTGCGAAGCCTATTCGAAGATTTTGACTGCCGGGGTGGATCACAATGACCCTCGAGGGATCCAGGCCAGCCGAAGGTGTTGTAGCACCATCTTCGTCAGGAAGATCTGCGACAGGAAGTGGTAGCTCCCCATTGGCAGTCTTGGATAGAGCGCGATCTCGGTCCCGAGCACTTTGTACTAGTCGATCTCGGGTGGCATCGCTCTGGAGGCGGAGGGCGAGGATTTGGTCATCGCGCTTCATGTAATCACTAACAAAGCATCAGC